AACCAATGTTTAAACTTTAGTAAATTAGTAAAATCTGTCAATTATATAAAATGAACACACAAATGTTTATTTTATTTTCAAAGAATACTCATTTATTAGGAAAGTTAACATTCCAAAGCTTTTATATCATTAACCTTGAGTTTTATCTAACACCTATAAACAATTCTGTTATAGAAGTCTTGGGAAGGTAATACAGTGTTACCCCTTTAGCCACAAGGGAGATGTTCCAAGACCCCCAGTGGAAGCCTGAAACCACAGATAGTACCAAAGCATATATATACTATGTTTTTTCCTATAACTACATGCCTATGATAAAGTTTACATTACCAATTAGGCACAGTAAGAGAGTAACAATAATAACTAGAAATAAAATAGAACAGTTGTAACTATACTGTGATAAAAGTTGTGTCAATGTGTGGCTTCTCTCTCAAAGTATCTTATTGTACTGTACTCACCCTTGTGATTATGTGGGATGAAAACTGCCTTATTAAGTTGAGAATTTTCACCTTTTACTTAAGGCAGCACTTTATAGCTTCTCTTTGGAATATCCAAATTGCCAACATCACTACTCTTTGGAATATCCAAATTGCCAACATCACTACTCTTGTGTTTTGGTGACATTATTAAGAAAGATAAGGATCGCTTGAACACAAGCACTATGATACCCCAACATCCTGGGCAGAATGGAGCAGAATGGCACAAAATTTCATGAAGCTACTCAGAATGGCATGCAATTTAAAACTTATGAATTGTTTATTTCTGAAACTTGCCATTTAATATTTTTGGACCACAGTTGACTGTAGGTGACTGAAAGCATAAAAAAGAAAACTGCGGATAAGGGGAAACTACTGTAGGTTTGACTCAAATCAACTAAAATGACTATATGTACTATGCGTTGTGTTAAGAAAAATGATTAAATTTAGTTAATATCTAGGACGTTTGCATTGTAAACATTTTATAAGCTTTATTTTTATTATTGTTGTAAATGTAATGTATATAGCTGAAATCTTGGGAAGGGAATAGTCTCTTAAGCATCTTGCTTATCTGTTATGAAAGTTTTGAGAACATGTTGTTCATAAAATACTTATTCAATTAAATAGCTTAATAAGATAGGCATTTAAGGGAACACTAAAGTAACAATCAAGAAACAAAAAATAGCATTTTAAAATAGGGATATTTAGAATACCCTATATTTTCTTTTCTAAAGTATAATTCATATATCATATCACTGAGCTGTGAGATGCAAGAAATATTTTATAATGTTTCCTTAATTATGTAGGAGTTTTCATATAATAATTTAGGTGAGGTGAGGGGTGCTGTTAGCGCTAAGTTCCTTTACAAAAAAATGTGAAATTATAATATTTCTTAAGACAACCTATAGAAACTGAGGTGTTTCTTGCTAGCTAACCATATGACCCTAAATTAAGTCCTACATTGTTATAATGTTGACGGCTCTTTCAAAGCGGTAAAGAGGCTGCTAATACCTTAATTGTCTGAAGGAACAGTACTATTATTTGAAGTCTCTTCTAGTTTTAAAAGCAATAATTGTTCTAGTTTTCCATTGTTTATAATGGAAATCATAAGTTTTAGAGAATCTTAAAAACCAGTAGTTATATTTATTGAATAGTGAAATTTTGATGATTAAGTTATGATTAAACCAGTAATAACTTTCAGAAGTGAATAGTGGCTTTAGCAGTGAATACTCAGATTTCTTGATGTAGAGAAGATATCTCACAAATTTGAAATCAATTATTCATTATTTTTCTTCTGATTATTATATTTTATAAATGCAGTATGTTTCATATTACCCAATACAAATGGAATTTTGTTCCAAATGTAGAATTTTGGTTACAGAGCAAATAAAACTATGGGTTGCTCAGTTTTATTTTCCTCTCCTCTAGGCATTTCAGCTGTTCTCTACTAGGAAAATTAATTACACTTTATATCATTTGCAATGCCTTCATTCCTTGAAAATACCCATTACTTAATTAGTATCACTTAAAATTAGAGAACTCTTCTTCTTAACTGTATTTAAATCAATTTAATGTTAAGTGATTTGGGGAAACACTGTCAGCAATTTTGGCTCGTTTGTATTTGTGGAATACGGTGTATCTGTCTTATAATAGGTAGTAAAATATTTCTGATTACACTATTCCATATTTGAAATGAAAACCTCCCTGAGTCATACTGGATTGTAAAACATAGGGGAAAAAATTAGGAAGGAAGGGGAAGGTACCTTTTTATTTGTTTCTAAAGATTTAATGATTAAGGCTGTAAAAGCAAAGAAAACTCAGTAAGTATCTCCAGTATTGACCAACATTTGTCTTCTGCATCTGCATCTGCTTCTGGTGAAAAATCAGCAACATGTGATACAGTGTAAGGAAATCCACACTACATGTTTTTCTAAAACCCAGTTATATGTTAATATTATCTATTGAATCTCTCACCTATTATTGTCACATGTAGCACATAGTCTCAATGACTTTATTTATTCCTTTTATCTCAAATCTCTGTCATTTTCTCTCTTACATTATTTTATCTAAGTTACATCAATGTTTGGTTATATTTAGAGAATTAACTTATTCGTATTCTTTTTCTCTGTTGATAATAATATAATTTGTACACAAATGGAATTCTCAGTTTTCTTGTTTTGTTTTTATTTTTTCTTGCTCTTTAGACAATTTTTTTTTTTGAAAATTTCTGAATTCTTCCAGCAATAAGTACTTTCTCTAAAACAAAAGACCCATGTTGTAGTAGTAGAACTTTCCAATTAAAGTAAAAATGCTACTCTTGAAGGTGTCAGATTAGTACATGGTTCTGCTCAGTCATGGATGTCTAAGCATATTTTAGGGAGTCTTGTGTTATAAATAGATAAGGTGTTTTTATTTTGTTTTTACTTTGTGCATGTATTTGTAAAAGGAATACCTGTATGGTTAATGATGTGTTGTATTGGTAATTTTTTTCATAGTGTTTAATTGTGGGAATTTTTGTCATCACATGTTAAGACCTCATCTTCTAGGTAGAGCATGCTCTTTAGAAAACAATCTCCATGTTAAGTAAATGGACATAAAGTATTACCTTAAAAGATTCTTTTAAAGACTTAGAATATGATGTACCCAAATTCTATTTATTGGTCTGATTCCAAAATGGAAGCAGACATGTATTTGAGACAGTACCAATGTCATTTGGAAATTTTAATTTAACGAATTTAGTTGTGGTGCTCCTCATCTGACATAACCACCGTTTAGCATTTCTTGGATAACATGAAATTTGAAAAACTATATGTAGCTCGCTACCAGTTTTAAAATATGTAACCTCAAATCATTTCAGAATATTTTAAGACAAATTTGGCAAAGCCTTTATTTTGTAAATAGCGTGAAACTTTGTATAGGTTTTAAAATAATTCTAGAATTGGTTACAGATGATTTAAAGTTTAGTACAAAATAGAGTACTATGGTGCTGACCATTTGTTATTATGCAGTTTTCATGGTCTCCAGGCACATTATTGTGGTTTACTATGTAGCTAGGTTTATTTATTATCCAAGTCTCAAATTTCACAGTTCTCAATTTTAATTTTATTAACTGTTTGGTCAAGATATTTTGCATGTTTAAAATTAAGAGGATCTACCTCATAGCATCCACTGAGTATCACCATTTATGATTCAAATGCCTATTTAGATTTATTTAAAATATATATTTATAGTACAATCCACTTAATAATTCACTTAGTATTATTATTTTTTGTCACTGAAAGATATTGTGAAACTAAAAGTATAGTATGATCCTGGTTCTAATTATGTGTGGGCATGTTCAACACTTATAGGGGAAATAAAAGACTTTAGGGAAATATAACAATGTTAACAGTGCCTGTTATTGGGAGTGACAAAGTGGACGGTGGATTATGACTGATTTTGATTTTTCTCCTTTATATATTATATTTTCTAAATTATCTTTAAGGAAATACTAGTACCTTTCTAATTAAAAAGTAAATAAGTATTTTCCTTTTGTTTTCAAATAAGCTACTTACTTATAAAGAAGTCTATACTATGCAGTCGATACTGACAAGTGCTAATAGAAGTAGAGTCAAAAATACAAGTTATAGGAACATGTTTTCCATCAAATTGTCATCCCAGTAATAAATGTTTATAAATATTCTAATTTGAGTATACTTTTAAAAATTATTTCGTAAAGTGCTTTTTCTGTAGCCACAATAAAAACATAAGATGGTTTTATCTCACAAATTTATGTTAGTGAATTAATCTCTGTCAAATTAGTAAATGAAAATAGTGTAAAAGAGGGAAAGGAATTTTGCTCTTAATCCTGAACTTTATGAATGCTTATATTTTTGTTCAATGTATTTTATGTAATAATAACATATTGTACCTGAGAATTACCAAGGGAAGATACTGAAATGTATCTTGGATCTTACTACCAGAGATTCAGATTAAGTAGGTCTAAAGTAGAAATCAGGATTCTGTATTTTAATTAAGCACTTGCATGATTCTGGTTCCGGTGTTGCAACAGACCATAGGAGACTGTTTATTCTTTTCCTGTCTATTTCCAGAGCCAGATCTGTGATCACCTTCAGTCCATGCAAAGATTATTGCAGTTTTCTAATTTAACACATTCTCTGTGGTCTCTAATGCATAGTGCATACATTCCCAGCAGTTGTACTAGGGAGAGGGAAGAGGAAGTTAGAACTTGTATTTATATTTTTATCTCATTTCCTTAATTTCTATTTTTGTATATTTTATAGTATACATAATTTTTGATATGGTAGTATGTTAATAAAAATGCAAATATAAACCATTTAAAAGGGTAAATTTTATGTAGCATGCAAATTATGTAGCACATTAGTCTCTGGGACACTACATTTTCTTTTAATGATGCATTAAATATTTTGTATTTCAAATTTAGACAATATACAACTTACTATCTAATGACAGTTAACTACATTTTTGTATATGTTCTTCCCTACTTTCTTTTGTCCCCTTTATCAGGTGATGCTTTTCCTTGGACTGTCAGCTTGCATCATTTCAGCATATATACCCTTTTTGGAAAGCAAGTGACACTTTGCCTAGTGGAACCTATGGGTTGTACCTCTACTCTAGCCGTTACATCTCAAAAACTACTTGCTGCAGGACCTGATATGAGACATTCATTTGTTGTCTGCCTCCATGTTGACCTAGAGTCACTTGAGATAAAATGCTCGAACCCCCAGGTTGGTACATTTGATTTATGAAAGGAAATTTAAAATAATGTGATTTAAGAACAATTGCTGTCCATTTTGTTGCCGAGTTTGTCTTCTATTAAGTGTCCTAAATTATTTTTAACAAGGCCATCAAGATCAGAATGGTTAGATTAAGAATTGCTTTGAAGCTCTCTCAAGTTTTGTAATTGAAACTCTTCTGAAAATGTAATGGTGGCAGCATAAATGCATCTTTTGGCTGATGGAATGAAATCAGTTGCAGATGTAAGGTTTTTAAACACTAATGAGCTGCTTTACCATCAGACCAGAAGAGTCTGTTGAAGTGATCAAATATAATTTTTAATCAGATTATCACTCAGGACTTCTTTTGCTCAACATATAAATTTTTTTAAAGCACTCTTTACTATTTTAAAAGGGCATTTTGTTAATCCCATAACATTTCAGATGGTATAGGCCAAACATGTTGTATTCAATGGTTTTACAGTTTAATATTAATTTGGATCACCTGGTTTGTATTAGATTGCATACAATCTAATACTTGTTTCTTTGACCTCAAGCAGACCATAGTATATTTTCTACATAGCTTATCAGTGTTAAATTCTAATTGAAATTTTATTTTTAAAATAATTTTTTTATAATATTAATGGATCTGACAGATCAATATTGATAAATCGATGTGTTTATCGCAGAATTAGTGGTTGCAAGCCAATTTTTGAAGTGGTTTTTTTGTTTGTTTGTTTTTAAATGGGTTCAGATATGACACTCTATTATATAGAGCCGCCTTACTGATATCACCCTCCTCCTTTCTCTTCTTCTCCTTACCTCTCTCCCCACACTGTATATTATACAGTTTGGTTTAATTTACATATATTTTTGTGCATGTTGTCAAGATTGGACTTGCTATATATTGGTGATGGTCTTATTATCAAAATGCATATAGTTAGAATTATAATAAGGCAGTTGTGTTAAATAAACACTATCATAAGAAATTAAAATTTGAACAATATCATTATTCCAATTTATAGCCATTTGCCATTCTATTATGACCCACAGTGGTATAGAAGAGAATAATTATGAAATGACCTACCCTTTCACAGATTATTCTCTGAATACTATTGCTGATGGTTGCTGAAAACATTTCCAGGAGGAAGGGAGACTGTTAGGGTTGAATTGTGTCCTTCTCAAAAGATATGCTGAGTTCCTAACTCCCAGTATTTCTCCCTTTATCTGGTAATAGGGTCATTATAGAGGTAATCAAGTTAAAATGAGGTCATTAGGGTAAGCCCTAATCCATTGTGATTAGTTTCCTTATAAAAAAGGGAAATTAGGATGTAGACACACACAGAGGAAAATCAATATGAAGACATATGGGGAGAGGGCCGTGTGAAGATGGAGGCAGAGACTGGAGTAATCCAGCTGCAAGCCAAAGAGTACAGGTGTTGCTGGCTATCACTAAAAGCACAGAAGAGAGGGAATGAAGGATTCTACTCAGTCTCAAGTTAGTCTGTTGATACCTCGATTAGGGATGCTAACCTCTAGAACCATGAAACAATAAATTTCTGTTGTTTTAAGCTACCCAGTTTATGATGGCAGCTCTACAACAGATTGTAGAGAGACAGATTCACCTTCTTTTCATCCTTTATTATAGAAGTTATTTAAAAGGAAAAGGTAAGAGATCCAGTTCTAGCATGGTGGAAAAAGCCCACCTCACCTCAGTGAACATTCATCCCACTGATAATTTATATATACTCTGGGTGAAAAAGCAAAACTAAAAACATAAACAAATGTCCTCAATTTGTTTTAAAATAATTGAATTGCAAAAGTAACTTTAAAGCAGCTATTACCAGATTTTTCATGAGGTGTAAAGGTAGGCACATTAAATGAAAAAAAGTAAGAATTTTCAGTGGAGAAATGGAAATTATTGAATTTGAAAAAGAGAGAGAAAAAAGGTATAAGAAGAAAAGCCAGAGCTTCAGTGGCTGTGGGACAAAATGTTCTACTATATGTGTAATTAGAGTTCCAGAAAGTAAGGAGAAAGATTGGAGCAGACGAAAAATGAACAATAATTGCAGAAAACTTCTCAAATTCCCAAATTTGCAAAAATAGACTTTTACATATTCATGAAGTTCACCCAATTCTAAGCATGTTTACCTTTGAGAATAAAGTCAAAGAAAAACATGCTCAGACACACTATGATTAAAATCCTGAAACACAAAGATAAATTTTTAAGAAATCTTGAAAGCAGTTACAAGAAGACACGTTATGTCTAGATTTACAATAATTTGAATGAATACGGATTTCTCATTAAAAACTACAGAGGACAGAAGACATTGGAACAATATCTTTAAAGTGGTAACAACAACAACAACAACAACAACAACAACAACAACAAAGCTCAAGCAAGTGAAGCTATCCCACAGAAATCAAAATGAAATAAAAGACACTGAAGATGAAGATAAACTAAGAATTTGTCACCAGCAGCTCTACAAGGAATGCTGAAGGAAGTTCTTTAGGGTAAAGGAGAATGATACCAGATAAAAACCTGGATCTTCAAAAATAAAAGAATCCCAATAGATAGATTCGTAAATATACATTTAAAAAATTTTAAATATATAAGTGGAAACCAAAATATATAATGTATGCTGGGATTTTTACTGTTTGTAGATGTAATATAGAAGACAACTGAATCATTAAGGTTAGTGGGAGATGCACCAAAGGAACCTGTATGGTTGCCAGATTTCTAAATATCATGAGAAGTGGTACAATATAAACTCCGTAAGTAGACTGTGAAAGTTTTATATGTATTATAGTCTCCTAGAATGACTACTACAAATATAGAAAAATACAGATAAAACCAAAAGCCAATAGATTAATTAAAATGCTAAAAAATATTCACATAATCTAAAGAAGTCAAAAAATGGTAACAGTTACAAAAACCAGAGGATAGAAACAGAAAAAATAAATAAATAAAACAAAAGGAGCTGAGCCAGCTTTATCAATGAACACATTAAATGTTAATGATCTTAACTAGGAGTGTTTATACCAGGAGTCGGCAAACTAAGGCCTGCAGGCCACATTTGGAAACACCCATTTTTTTGCAAATTATCTGAGGTTGCCATCGTGCTACAACTGCAGAATTAGGTAGCAGCAACAGAAAACAGTATGGCTCACAAAGCCTATAATATCTACTCTGACCCTTTACAGAAAAAAATTTGCTGACCCCTGGCCCAACTACCTCAATTAAAAGGCCAAGATTTATAGAGTGGGGAAAAAAGCAAGACTGTCTACTATATATTGCCTAAAACAGAAACACTTGAAATTTAAAGAAACAATACAAGTAAATGCATAGGGAAAAAATGCCACACAAACAGCATAAGAAGACTTGACTTGTTTATTTGATATCAGATAAAATAGACATAAAGAAAATTATTATCGGAGATAAAGAGAGACATAAAAAGGGAATTAAGGGAAAAAATAGATGATTCTATTCAATCATAGTAGGAAATTTTTATGCCATTTCTTTCAGTGATTATAAAACAACTAGGTGAAAAATAGGTGAAGATATAGAAGATATGAAAAAAATAGATAATACCATGGTTGTAGTAGGGAATTTTTATACCACCTTTCTCAGCAATTGATAAAACTAGAAAAATAAATAAATAATTGGAGATATAGAAAATACAAAAAATACTATGAGCTCACCTTGATCTAATTGACATTTACAGAACACTATATCCAACAACTATGGAATGCACATTTTTTCCGGTGTACATATTTTCATTGTTTTAGATCAAAATTAATAAACTATATCATCAAACCACTGTCAAATTATATTAGAAATCAAAAATAAATTCTATGAACATTAAACAGCATGCTTCTAAATAATTTATAAATCAAATACAAAACCACTTGGAAATTAGGAAATATTTTGGTTGAATGGCAATAAAAAATTGGATACAACTAAAGCAGTGTTTTGAGGGAAACATAACTTTAAATATTTATATTAGGAAGAAAGATTCCCTTTAAGATTCTACTTAGGAAGCTAAGAAAAGAACAAGGTAAACCCAAAGTAAGTAAAAGGAAGAAAATAATGAAGAACAGAGATGACTGGATCAGTAAAAAGAGCGAATACAAATCACCAGTATCAGGAACGAAGGGAAAGGTCATTACTACAGAGCCTACAGACAATTAAAGCATAATAAGAGAATAATGAACAACTCTATGCTAATAGTCGTAACAATTTAGACGAAATGAAAATTTTTATTGAAAAAGAACTGTGCACAAATAATACAAGAAGTAGAAAATCTGAATACCCCTATATGACTTTTAAAGAAATTGGATGTGATATCAAAAATGTTCTCATAAAGAAAACTTCAGGCCCAGATGGGTGAATTCTGTCAAATAAGTTAAAAAATAATAGAAATGTTTAACAATTTTTTTTTTTTTTTAGGAATAGAGAATGAAGGATTTCTACCTAATTTGTTTTATGAAGCCAGCTTAACCGTATTACCAAGTCTTGAAAAAGACTTTATAAAAGACGGAATTAGAAATCAATATGCTTCATGAAAATAAATGCAAAGATTCTTAACCAAATATTAGCAAATTGATAATATATAAAAAAGATAGTACATACTGACCAAGTAGGATTTATCTTAGAAATGCAAGTTTGGTTCAGTATTTGAAAGTCATTCAATGCAATCCACCATATTAATAAAACAGTGGAGAAAACTCATTTGATATTCTCCTTAGATGCAGGTAAAACACTTGACAAAATTTAATACCCATTCGTGATAAAAACTCTCATAAAATTTCAAGTACTAGAGAATGTTTTCAGATGGATAAAGGACATGTATGAGAAAGCATATATAGTACTAAATGGTAAAATACTGAATTGTTTCCCACTAAGATCAGGGAAAAGTCCAGAATGACTGCTTTCACCACCTGTCTATTCATACTGGACATCTTAGCCATTGTAATAAACCAAGCAAAAGAAATACTAGGCAAAAAGAGAT